CTACTCAGCCTCCCCGGGAAAGTTTACTCTAAGGTACTCGAAAGGAGGGTCAGGCCGATTGTCGAACCTCAGATTGAGGAGGAACAATGCGGATTCCGTCCTGGTCGTGGAACGACGGATCAGCTCTTTACTCTCGCAAGGATCCTGGAAGGGGCCTGGGAGTACCCTTATCCAATCTACATGTGTTTAGTAGACTTGGAGAAGGCGTATGACCGGGTTCCCAGGGAGTTACTGTGGGAGATCCTGCAGGAGTATGGGGTGAGGGGGTCTCTACTCAGGGCCATCCAATCTCTGTACTCCCAAAGCGAGAGCTGTGTCCGGGTCCTCGGCAGTAAGTTGGACCCATTTCCGGTGAGGGTTGGCCTCTGCCAGGGCTGCGCTTTGTCACCAATCCTGTTTGTAATATTCATGGATAGGATTTTGAGCCATAGTCGTGGGGGAGGGGGTCTGCAGTTCGGTGGACTAAGGATTGCACCACTGCTTTTTGCAGATGATGTGGTTCTAATGGCTTCATCGGTCTGTGACCTTTAGCACTCACTGGATCGGTTCGCAACCGAGTGTGAAGCAAGGATCAGCACCTCCAAATCTGAGGCCATGGTTCTCAGCAGGAAACCGATGGACTGTCCACTCCAAGTAGGGAATGAATCCTTACCCCAAGTGAAGGAGTTCAAGTATCTCAGGGTCTTGTTCTAGAGTGAGGGAACAATGGAGCGTGAGATGGGCCGGAGAATCGGAGCAGCGGGAGCGATACTGCAGCCGCTTTGCCGCACCGTCGTGACGAAAAGGGAACTGAGCCAGAATGCAAAGCTCTCTGTCTACCTGGCCATTTTCGCTCCTACCCTCTCCTATGGTCATGAAGGATGGGTCATGACCGAAAGAACGAGGTCGCGGATACAAGCAGCCGAGATGGGTTTCCTCCGCAGGGCGGCGGGCGTCTCCCTTAGGGATAAGGTGAGAAGTTCAGTCATCCGGGAGGGACTCAGAGTTGAACCGCTCCTCCTTCGCGTCGAAAGGAGCCAGTTGAGGTGGTTCAGGCACCTAGTAAGGGAGGTGTTCCAGGCACGTTCAGCTGAGAAGAGACCGAAGGGTAGACCTAGGACCAGGTAGAAGGATTATATCTCTTCGCTGGCCTGGGAGCGCCTTGGAATCTCCCAGTCAGAGCTGGTTGATGTGGCCAGGGAAAGGAATGTTTGTGGCTCTCTGCTGGAACTGCTACCTCCGACCACGGATAAGCGGGAGAAGATGGATGGATGGATAGAGTCTGTCTGTAAATCAAGCTACTTACAGTTTTCTATCCACACCTAGTTAGCTAGCTTACCGTAGCTACCATTTTAACAAGCTGTCAGGATGATATATGACAATGGCCAAAAATCTTATATGATTTTAATAACTCTGTAGTGTCTCGTGGCATACGTGTCCCCCTTGATGAGGAGCTACGAAAAAGTACCAAAACATATCAGCGGGTTAGACTCCATAGTCAAGCTAATGTTGAATTTGTTATAATTACTCACTGCCAAAAGGTTAGAGAAAGTTCCAGTGTTGACATTTATAAAACAAGTTAATGAACAAACTGTCTGTCTGTCTTTCTTTCTTTCTATCTGTATATAAAGCTATTTGCTACCCATCTAAAAAGCTAGTCAGCAAATGTTAGCTATCTTGTTAGTAAACAGCAAATGTGTGGCTCTCTTAATTTAAATTGGAATTGTTATCTAACACCGTATGGTGAGATTTGCACTGCGGACCTGTGTCTACCGTTCAGGCAGGTGTAGGTCTGATTATAAAAACATTATTGACATGTTTTTTTTAAGCAGAACGGTTACTCTCCTAAAGCCAGCCGCTCCCAACAGCTACAAACATTGTTGTAAATACTCAAATAAAAATGTTTAGGATAAAGTAATCACATATTGTAAATTTAAATAGTTAGTTTATTCCCTGAAAATAAGTTTTAACTGAATAACATTTCATTCGAAAGCTTAAAGCTGTTTCTTTGGCAGGTTAAGGTTGGTAAGGCTGGCAACGTTACGCAAAGAAATAGCAATACTGCTTTCACTGTAAGTGCCAGTACATTATGTCGCCCTAAAGCTGGGCGATACATTATGTCGCCCTAAAGCTGGGCGAAACATATGGTAAAAAGGATAAATACAAAATACCTCATCATGAATTTTATTCTTATCCATTAACCAAAATGTCTATGGCACTGGCTAGGCAGCCTCAACTGTAAGCCTGTATTTAACCTTTGGCCAGATAGCCCCACCCAATGGTTGGGGGCAAGTTGTATTCTACCAGTGTTTTGATTGCCTAAGGGTTGTAAGTAAACAGAAAGTTTACATTTGTACATCAGTAGTTATGTTTGTTTTCAGAAAAGAGTCAATCTGTTTCAAAATGTACTGCATAAATCCTTCATTAGATAGCAAGAGAGTGTTAAGCCCCCATGAATGAACAGAGTTCTGATTTGGGACACTGAGCTCTAATACCAGAGGACTAAGATTGGATATTATACGTGCATGTACAATTTCTCAGGGCACTTCCAAAGCTTCTTATGATGTTTTCTACATTATAAGATTGTTCTCACTGAAAATGTCTTCCTTAGCCAAAGTGTCAATTATGGTAACCTGATTTCTCACACTCAAGCTGGACCCTCTTTACTCAACATCACAAGCCTTTTCTGAAATGATGTTGAGTATTTGATTGTTTAAGAAAACTGCTTCATTTAAACTGGTATCAAATAATCAACCCTATCTTAAAATGTTAAAGCATTGTTTGAGAAACTGAAGGATTGTAATACTTGAGAAATATTTTATTTTTGAGATTCTCCAAAAGCACATAATATCTGTAGTTGTTCAGGATTCTCAGTATGACTAAATGATGGCATTCATATACAGATTTCTTTTTTTGTGGAGTGGATTATGGTCAAAGCTGCAGGATATTACTGCTCTTTATGAAATATTGTCTAAATTTGCAACCAAATATGAATACAATCTTTAAAATCCTGACCTTGTGTCATGAAATACCCATAAGCAAACGACAGGATTCTGTTCTCCACATTTTTTTTAATATTAGCGAAGAAAATCTTGGAAACATTTACATTTGTTTTTGAAAAAGAACATCTTATAGAAATTCAGCACAACTCAACAATGAATCAGAGCAGTTTTGAGTTAGTAAAATCCCCAGAAATTATTTTCCCAGAAATTATCATTCTGAAAGCTGTTCTAAACCATCTGTAAAAGAAAGAATAAATAAGTGGGTTGAGCATTGAATTTGACAGTGCAAGCCAATTAAGTAATTCAATAAAAGGAAGTGGCATGAAGACATGACTGAAAGAAAGAACAGTGGTACAAAGAAAGAAAGGAAGCCAAGACATCAGAAAAACTCCCATCACAATAGCAAGAGTTTTGGTGGCCTTTCTCTCCATCTTACTGACAGTTGCCCCAGACTTTGTTGTTGTGTTGTGGATGTTGCGTGCCTGTTTCTGTGCCACAACGTAAATCTTCAGGTAGATACACAGCATCACAATCACTGGGAGGTCAAATGAGAAAACAAGTCCGAAAATGTTTGCCATTATAGCATCAATCAACCGAATTTCCTGGTTAGTTCCTAAAATTACGAAACCAATACCAATAAAGACAGAAATCCCCCAGCTCACCAAGATCATAACCACAACAACAGGATCAGAGATTTTAGTTCTATAGGTCAGAGGCTGACACACTGCATAATATCTGTCAATAGAAATACAACACAAATTTAGAATAGAAGATGTGCACAGCGTTACATCAAAGGTGCTCCGTACTTTGCAAAATAAAGCTTTATGGTACACACAATAGGTTATAGAGAATTCCATGGTGAGAGGAAATACTATTACTCCAACAAGCAGATCAGCCAAAGCAAGAGAGAGAATGAGAGAGTTAGTAGGAGTGTGGAGCTGTTTGAAGTAAATGATTGAGATTATTACAAGCAGGTTTCCACCTACAGTTACAACAGATAATGAGCCAAGAAAAACGTGAAACAATACACAGATTGCAGAAGGGTTGTTTCTCAGCACGTACGAGACATCTATTTTATAGCAGGGATGTATCTTAGTGAGAACATCAGTCCAGTTGAGGCTGCTGTTTCCATGCTTAAGCGCCCCTGTAATTCAGTTATCATACAGGATGAACATTTATATTTTTTCAGTTCTAAACATTTAACAAAATATTAAGTTCACTATTAATGTACAATTCAAACATTCATTTCATCCTAGCTCTTCATACATTTTCATGACATACCTAGTCAACCCTTCAGTATGGATTTCCAGAGGTGGGACCAAGTCATTGTTTTGCAAGTCACAAGTTAGTCTCAAGTCTTTGCCTTCAAGTCCCGAGTCAAGTCCCGAGTCAGAGACAGGCAAGTCCCGAGTCAAGTCCCAAGTCAAGACCGACAAGTCTCAAGTCGAGTCCCAAGTCCTACCATTTGAGTTTCGAGTCCTTTCGAGTCCTTTTAACAACAGGGAAATAATATTTACACAGATCATGTATGCTTTTAAGATTTGTATACATTTATTAAACCTTTTTTTGCAAGAACATTGTTCAAACACTCTTTTTAACTCATTTCAAAACCTAAGTGTAACCTTAACCTTTTCAAACATGTCACCACTTTATAAAAGATATCCTCGCTCCCAAAAAATAATCTAAATAATCTACATGTAATACATTCATGCCTCTATCAGTTCCTGTTGCTCCCTTGATAAACAATTGGCATGCATCCATAGAGAGACTGGTGTGTGTGTGTGTGTGTGTGTGTGTGTGTGTGTGTGTGTGTGTGTGTGTGTGTGTGTGTGTGTGTGTGTGTGTGTGTGTGTGTGTGTGTGTGTGTGTGTGAGAGAGAGAGACTGCGTGTGTGTGTGAGAGAGAGAGAGACTGCATGTGAGAGAGAGAGAGAGAGAGACTGCGTGTGAGAGAGAGAGAGAGAGAGACTGCGTGTGAGAGAGAGAGAGACTGCGCGTGAGAGAGAGAGACTGCG